TGTGTGTGTGTGTGTGTGTGTGTGTGTGTGTGTGTGTGTGTGTGTGTCTAAGCCTTTGTCTTGTGGTGTCTGTGTCTGTTGTGTGTAGGGGAGTATGTCTTTGTGTAGGTGTGTGTGCGCACATGTGTGTAGGTGTGTGCGCACACATGTCTGCATCTGTGTGCGCTCCAATGCCAAGAAAGAGAGATTGAGATTATGGACTGATTTGTAGAAAAGATCATGGGTGACCCTTTCCAGCGCTGCTCCCCCCTCCCCCCAAAGGTAACAGCCCTCTTGAAAGAGTGGTGAGCCACGAAAGGGAGCCGGTGATGGGCATATTAAACTCTGATAATATTCCCTTTGTCAGAGGGCTTTTTTCAGCTCTGAGGCAGAGTCAAGGAGGCTCCTCAGAGGAGCCGGCTGGCTTTGTTGGCTCATTAATATGCATATTGCTAGATCCCAGTCATCACAATATAGATTGAAGCCAGCTGTCCCTGCCACTTCCACCCCCTTCCTGCTTTCATGGGGTCTGCTGGGAGAGGAACAGGAGCAGAGAAAAGGAATCCTGTAAAACAGACTTAACTGCGTTTGGGAAGTCATGTGGAAGACCAGCTTGTGTGCCAAGGGGAATGACAGTCATGGTAGAGCAGACACCTCCCTTTCTCATGCAGTCAAGTTTGTTATCAGTCGGTTGGTAAACATTGATTAAGCTCCTGCTGTGTGCCAGGGAGACAAAAAGAGGTGGACAACAGCTCCTGCCCCCGAGGAGCTAACTCATAATCTACTGGGAGAGACAACAAGCCAACAGCTATGTACAGACATTCCCTTTAGAGGAGAAATAGGAACGGACGGAAGAGAAGGGAGGCGCTAAACTGAAGAGGGAAAGGCTTCCTGGAGGAGACGGCCTGGTTGGCGTGCGTTCAGGAAGCCAAGGAAGTCAGTAGGCAGAGAGGAGGAGGAGTATGCTCCAGGCATGGGGGACAGCCAGGGAAAATGCCCAGGGCTGAGAACTGAACACCAGATAGAGGACTGTGGAGTTAGTCCTGGAAGCTATATTGTCTATATAATTATATGAGGAGCCACACAGGGGCACCTGCACTTTAGGAAAATCATGTGAGTGGCTGAATACAGGACGGACTGGAGGCAGCAGACCTCCAGCGGTCCAGGTGTGAGGTGCTGAAGGCCTGCACCAGGGTGGTGAAATGGACGGGCCTTGACCACAGCGTGGATTTGGGGGCTGAGAGACAGTGAGCAGTGCAGGAGGGAAGGTAGGGATGGAAAGGGCATAGGGAAAAAGATCATGAATTGTTTTGGACATGTTGGATTTAAGATGTCTACGGAACATCTAGCTCGAGA